CGCCTGCTGAGGCCTTGCACACCTTCACGTTGGACTTCGGCGCCTCGCGCTGTTTCTTTCGTGACAGCACCACTCTCACTCCTCTCCCTGCACCTGTCCCGGTCAGACTGGCTGACCCCTCTGGGGGCCTGGTCGTGGCCAGTTCCTCTACTGTCCTCCCGTGTCCGGCGGTTTCGTCTGGCTCACTGTCAAGTCTTCACCTCCCCTCGTTCTCTACGAACTTGGTGAGTACCGCTGCCCTTCAGGATGCGATGGTCACTACCACCACTCCTGGGGGTCAGCGTGTGTCGATCTCCACGTGCACACGGACGGGGCGTCACCTGGCTACGTTCACTCATCGGCCAGGGTCGAGTCTGTACACGCTGGCTACCGGGCCTCCTCAGATCGTTGCGTCTGCTCAGGTGTCCGCGTCAGGTCAGGTAGCCGCCTCTTGCTCGTGTCGCCTCCTGTCGCACCAGACTCTTCTGTGGCACCACCGCCTGGGTCACCCCTCCCTGCCACGCCTTCGTGGCATGCACTCCCGGTTTCTCGTCTCTGGTCTACCCAGGTCTCTGCCTCCCCTCCTGCCCTCACCCGCCCCACCCTGCCTTCCTTGCGTCGAGGGGCGGCAGCGCGCCGCTCCTCACTCCTCCTCGTTTCCCCCGACGACTGCTCCCCTGCAGACTCTCCACATAGACGTGTGAGGCCCAGCCCGCGTCAGTGGACAGGGCCGCGCGCGTTACATTTTGCTGGTCGTTGACGACTAGACGCGGTACACCATGGTCTTCCCCTTGCGCAGCAAGGGTGAGGTCGTTGATGTCTTGATCCCTTGGATCCGCACAGTCCATCTCCAGCTCCGCGAGCGCTTCGGTACGGACCTTCCTGTCCTACGTCTGCACTCTGACAGAGGTGGTGAGTTCTCCTCCGACCTCTTGCGGGACTTTTGTCGTGGGGAGGGCATCACCCAGTCGTTCACGCTTCCGGCCTCCCCTCAGCAAAATGGGATTGCTGAGCGCCGCATTGGCTTAGTCATGGAGGTCGCTCGTACCTCCATGATCCATGCGGTCGCGCCCCATTTTCTGTGGCCGTTTGCGGTCCGGTACGCTGCGCATCAGCTCAACCTCTGGCCCCGTGCCTCCTTGCCGGAGACCTCGCCCACACTGCGTTGGACGGGGAAGGTTGGCGATGCGTCGATGTTCCGGGTCTGGGGTTCTCGTGCCTTTGTTCGCGATACGTCCGCGGACAAGCTCTCCGTCTGCGCCATTCCCTGCGTCTTCCTTGGCTTTGTCCCTGACGCGCCTGGCTGACAGTTTTACCACCCCACCTTGCGACGTGTCCTCCCGTCTCGGGACGTCACGTTCGACGAGTCGGTTCCCTTCTACCATCTCTTCCCTTACCGCTCTGGCCCTCCCCCGCCCCCGCCGCTATCCCCTGCTCCCGGTCCACCTCCGGTAGACCCCCTCCCGCCCCAGGGTCCTGCGCCTATTCAGGTAGCTGTCGGCTCAGGTGCTGCTCCAAGTGCTGCGTCTGGGGGTGCTGCGTCTGGGGGTGCTGAGCCGGGGGGTGCAAGGTCTGAGGGTGCTGGGTCTGGGGGTGCTGAGCCTGGGGGTGCTGAGCCTGAGGGTGTTGAGCCTGGGGGTGCTGAGTCGAAGGGTGCGGAGTCTGGGGGTGCTGAGCCTCGGGGTGCTGCTTCGTCTGGAGGTCCTGCTGGTGCTTCGCCGCGACTGTCCTTGCAGCAGTTGCGTGAGTGGCTTGTTCGGCGCGCACACCGTCGGAGTGGAGCTCCCGGAGCTGGAGGCGCTGGAGACACTGGAGCTGGAGATGCTGCTGTTACTACTGGAGCTGGCGGTACTGGAGGTACTGCGGCTACTGGTCCTGGAGGTGCTCGTACCAGTGGTGCTGGAGCTGCCGGGACTGGTGGTGTTGGGTGCGCTGGAGCTGGAGACCCTACGGAGCCTGGAGCAGCTGGCGCTGGAGGCGCTGGAGCTCGAGGAGCTGGAGTTGGAGGCCCTGGCGCAGGAGGCGCTGGAGCTGCAGGAGCTGGAGTTGCAGGCACTGGCGTCGGAGGCGCTGGAGCTGCAGGAGCTGGAGCTGTTGACCCTGGCACTGGAGGTACTGGAGGCACTGTGCAACTTCGACCGTACATCGTTCCCCTACTTCAGCAGGTTCTTGGTGTCCCGTCTTCTACTAGTCTTCCTCCTCCCTTCCTGTGTCCATCGCCTGACCAGTCGCAGCTGCCGTTACAGCCAGCCTCCCCACTGCCTGCTCCCTCTCCTTACACTGAGCAGTCCGTCGGTCTTACAGAGAGTCGTGAGCCTGCGTCTCGTCCTATCTCGCTTGTTCGCACTGCTCGTCGCGCTCCTCGTTCGCGTCCTCCTCCTGTCCCCGGCACACACGCTATGGCACTCCGTCCTTCCTCTGTTCCACTGCGTGTTCCTCTGCCTGCTCCTCCTGAGTCCTCTCTTCCTGAGGTCCCTGACCCTGCATCTGACTGCGCTCGAGCTGCCAGTCCCACCGTCTCTCGTCTCCTCGCCACTGCTGTCACTAACCCTTCCTTTGCGTCTGCTGCTGCGTCTGCTCTTGTTGCTGAGCTGCTTGAATTTGCTTCTGCCTGCCGTCTCGACTAATCCACTGCTCTTGTTGCTGAGTCTGCGTCTGCCAGTCCTCCGTCCGTCAGGGGTGAGTGTGCTCTTGGTACGGACGTCCTTGAAGACAGGCAGGAGGACTTTGAGTGTCTTGCAGCTGCTGTACCTCGTTTCGCTTCCATGCTGCTTGTCCCTTAGGGAGACCCGGATGCTCCAGACATCCCGACCCCGCGCTCTTACGCAGAGGCGATTACGGGTCCTTACTCCTCTCAGTGGCAGACAGCTATGGATGCCGAGATGGCATCCTGGAATTCCACAGGCACCTACGTCGATGAAGTTCCCCCGTCTCGGGCGAACATAGTTGATGGCAAGTGGATTTTCAGGGTGAAGCGGCCGCCGGGTTCTCCGCCCGCCTTCAAGGCACGTTACGTTGCTCGAGGCTTCAGTCAGCGACAGGGAGTTGACTACTTCCAGACCTTCTCCCCCCACCCCGAAGATGACTACTCTTTGGGTGTTGCTGCATGTCGCTGCTCAGCGTGACTACGAGTTACACTCTCTGGACATCAGCACAGCTTTCCTGCAGGGCAGCCTCCACGAGGAGATCTGGCTGCGCCGACCACCCGGTTTCACTGGGACGTTTCCTGCAGGTACTCAGTGGAGCCTCCGCCGGCCAGTCTACGGTCTCCGCCAGGCACCTCGCGAGTGGCACGACACACTGAGGACTACACTTGCGGCTCTTGGGTTTGCTCCCTCTACTACGGACCCGTCGCTGTTTCTACGCACCGACACCTCGTTGCCGCCGTTCTACGTCCTCGTGTATGTCGACGACCTCGTCTTTGCCACTGCTGACACTGAGGCACTGACCCTTGTGAAGTCCGAGCTACAGAAGAGACACACCTGCACTGACTTGGGTGAACTGCGCAGCTATCTTGGCCTGCAGATCACTCGGGACAGAGCACGGCGCACCATCACACTGACTCAGTCACACATGGTGCACCAGGTCCTTCAGCGCTTCGGCTTCCAGTTCTCCTCGCCACAGCCCACTCCTCTGTCTACCAGGCACTCGCTCTCAGCTCCACCTTCGGACGAGTCCGTAGAGCCGAGTGGTCCGTACCCAGAGCTTGTGGGTTGCCTCATGTACCTGATGACGTGCACACGACCTGACCTCGCGTACCCTCTCAGCCTTATGGCTCGCTACGTGGCTCCCGGTAGGCACCGAAAGGTGCACTGGGATGCTGCGAAGAGGGTACTGCGTTACCTGTGCAGTACGTCGGGCATGGGGCTTGTGCTTGGAGGACGGGGTCCAGTCGTTCTCACTGGTCACGCAGACGCCTCCTGGGTTGACGAACCAGCTACGCAGCGGTCGTCACAGGGTTACACCTTCAGCCTTGGTTCCGGCTCTTTTTCTTGGTGGTCTACCCGCTCGTCTTCAGTCCTCAGCTCCAGTTGTGAGGCTGAGATCTACGCCGGGGCCATGGCTGCTCAGGAGCTACGCTGGCTCACCTACCTGCTGACCGACTTGGGAGAGCAGCCTCGTTCGCCTCCAGTTCTGTACGTAGACAACAAGGCCATGATTGCCTTGTGTCAGGAGCACAGACTGGAGCACAGAACGAAGCACATCGCTCTGCGATACTTCCTTGCTCGAGAGTTGCAGCAGCGTGGCCAGCTCCGTCTTGCGTACGTGGCCACCTCGGGCCAACACTGCTGATGTCTTCACCAAGGCACTTCCGCCTGGTGATCATCAGCGCTTTGCTACTGTGTTAGGCCTTGTGCCTACTTTGCCTCACTTGCTTACTGCTTGACTCTGCTTGTACTGTGATCTATATATATACCTGCTTGCTTGCCCTTGCTAGGGTATGATCACTGTATTGTTTGTTCTCTTTATATAACTCTGCATGTGAACTGGCCTTATGGCCCTTTGCTTGTGCTCGGACTGTGTGGTAGCTATGTGATCCACCCTGAGCTTGCCTTGCTTTTCCTGACTGGTCTTGTGACCACTTGTTCTCCCCCACTTTGCCTATGGGGGTGTGTCAGAACATTACAGCTTATTCATTTGTGTAGGCTGTAGTGGGGTAGCCCATAAGGGGTACAACCCAATTAGGGTTAGTACTTGTACCCAACTCTTTGCTAGTTCATTCATTCTCGTTTGTAACTTTGACAAAACTAACTAGGTCGGCGACGCATGGCCAGAGGACGGCCTAGAGCCCAACAGCCGCAACCCATCCCACCCCCTGCCGACTCTGTAGACGCCGACATCAAAGCGCAGCTGGAACGCCTCGAGCTCGTCGCTGAGTTGGAAGCACTCGAGAGAGAATCCGACGAAGACGCCTGAGCAAGTCATCGGGTGTACACCGCACCCGCGACACAGTACCGTCTCTGGTGGTCCATCCTTTACCTCGAACACGGTCGATGGTATAGCAAACTACGAGCGGCCACATGTCCGACGTTGGTCCCCCAACCGACCACAATCAGACCTCTACTCCCGAAGAGACACTCAAGTTACTCTACGATCTTGACGCACTGACACAGATTCCAGAAGGGGAGTTCACCAAGGACATTCCCCCACCGCCGATAGGGGAGTTTACGAAGCCATCTAGTAAGTCGACCCCGGCGCAAGATGGGCAGCCTGGACCTTCGTCGGTACCGGCCGGCTCAGCAAACGAGGTTGATGACGAGGAGGAGGAGGAGGAGGAGGAGGAGGAGGAGGAGGAGGAGGAGGAGGAGGAGGAGGAGGAGGAGGAGGAGGAGGAGGAGAGCGACGACGAATACAACGAGCGTCCTCCGCGTAGCACGAATCCGCACACCTTGGAAGAACGCATCCGGCGGGAACATGAATACATAGATAACCTGCTTGAACAGGACGAGGAGGAGGACGAGCAGAACATGGCGGTGCCACGCGAACAGTGGAGAGCGGCAGACTTCGTCGAGGATGACATGGTTTATGCATGCATCGACATGCTGGTCATAGACGCCCTACGCCACCTACAAACCTTGGAGAAGAATAGCACACTAAGGCTGTACACCTCGTTCATCTACCACTACAAGAGGTGGGCGGCAAAAATGCTGATGCAGATACGCGACAAGCTTCCCCAGGAGCACATGCTTAGGCACGTCGACGAGATTGGCCACTAGATCTGGGACAACAAGAAGAAGAATTGGGACAAAGTGGCCGAGGTTCCCCAGGAGTACATATGGCTGCACGGCCCTAGGGTTACCGAAACCCGGCTGCGCGCCTACGTGAAGTTCATGATACGTGAGTGTAAGCTCGATACCGAGTCGATCGAGGAGGGGAACAATGCCTCGCGAACCCATCATGTGCAAGGTACAACGGTGCACACGCTCCTCGGGCGCATAAAAGCATGCCAGATGGCGGCGAGAGTGGAGGCGATGCTCTACCAGGAGAAGGAGCTGAGCATCATGCGGGAGATCTCGGTGGTCAGATCGGAGGTGCGGTTCATGGTCCGCACCAAGAACAAGAGGGACGTCAAGTAAGTTTGTCGACACCGCCAACCTCTGTCCATGTCACTCTGAAGTCGACGCCGTCAAACTAAAAATACTATGTGGCTTTGTGGGCAGGAATTGTGCCGACCGGCGTTGCGGCACCATCGGCAATACCTACACCGCCGAACAGTTCAGCCAGATCATGATGAAGGTGCTGCCGACATGGGCGGCGTCGGCGTGGAACCCGCGGTCAACCGCTCCTTCGCAGACACCGTGGCGATTTCTGCTCACCAAGGCGCTCACGCTACTCTCCCACCACACTCTCCTGCGAGGGGCCAGCATCCGCGAGATCACGCTCCCCGACATCTTCTTGTACCAACTAGCTAGCACCTCGTCGGTGAACCCAGAGAACCAGCCGGTCGTCATGGTGATCGCCGTGCGGAACTCGAAGACTTCCAAGGATGCCCGTCTTCAGCAGAGCTACGCGTTGCGACACCTGGAAGCGGAGTTGTGCGCTGTCGGCGAGACCGGCATGTGGTTGCACTTCATCCTCGACCAGATCGGGCAGTTCAACGGCGTCGACTTCCTTCCGCCGCTTGACACCACCGAACGCGAACGCTGGTACAAGAAGCACCTCTTCTTCGCCCGCAACGACAAGGAGCAAAAAGAGCTCTCCGCCACCAGCCACCAACGTTGGACGCGGTAGTTGTGGACGACCAACAAGGTGTTCTGCAAGCAGAACGTGCACGCCGCTCGCGCCGGAGGTGTGCAGGAGCTAGCCATCGAAGGGACACCTCGCGCCGAGATCGCCGAGCTGGGTCACTGGGCACTCGACAAGATGACGCGTGCTTACATCACAGCCATTCCTGTTGGGGTGGTGATGAGGAAGGCCGGCTACTCGGGTTGCAAGCAAGACTACTTCTTGACAAACTCTTGGACACCATCGCCGAGCACATCTTCCTCGGCGTGGATGCTCTGCTGCGCAATGTATGTTAGTCGACGCCGACAATATCCTTACGTCGCCATAGCTTTGTTGGCTGCCCAACACCTTACTAACCCACATCACTTGCCGACGTGCAGGCGGAAACGCGTGCTGCCAAAGGGAGCGACACCGACAAAGCCGCCGTGCACTTCTGGCGTACCCTCCAGATGATGCGCCGCATCGTCGCCGAGGACCTCGCGGTGAAGCTCGTCCGCACCCCTTGGCACCCGTACGTCCAAGGTTCAAAGCTCTGTTGGATTGCCCTCTTTCAGCACTGGGCGAAAAGGATCGAGCAGATCGACACCGAAACGATCAACAAACGCCGGGACCCAACCCTCATTCTGTCAGAATCCCAACCACTAGACCACTAGACCCAACCCCCAGGCGAACGCGCCTGTAACCCCCCTAGGATCAATCGGGCATCCACAGTGCAGATCTACTGACACCCCCCCACACTGGGAGGCCCAGGACTGAGCACAGCGGCAACGGCCTACATGTGCATACACCGGGATTCGAACCCGAGACCTTTATGACACCATGTCAGAATCCCAGTCACTAGACCATTGGGATAGAAGGGCTTGTTAAGTAGCGGGTCAGAGTGCGTCCATAACCCCCCAGGCGAACGCGCCTGTAACCCCCCCCTAGGATCAATCGGGCATCCACAGTGCAGATCTACTGACACCCCCCCACACTGGGAGGCCCAGGACTGAGCACGGCGGCAACGACCTACATGTGCATACACCGGGATTCGAACCCGAGACCTTTCTGACACCATGTCAGAATCCCAACCACTAGACCGTTGGGATAAAAGGGCTTGTTAAGTAGCGGGTCAGAGTGCACCCATAACCCCCCAGGCGAGCGCGCTTGTAACCCCCCTATGATCAATTGGGCATCCACAGTGCAGATCTTCTGACACCCCCCCACACTGGGAGGCCCAGGACTGAGCACAGCGGCAACGGCCTACATGTGCATACATCGGGATTCGAACCCGAGACCACTCTGACACCATGTCATAATCCTAGTCACTAGACCATTGGGATAGAAGGGCTTGTTAAGTAGCGGGTCAGAGTGCGCCCATAACCCCCCAGGCGAACGCGCCTGTAACCCCCCCTAGGATCAATCGGGCATCCACAGTGCAGATCTACTGACACATTCAGCCAGAGGTAAACTGTCGCTAACGTCGGCGTTGATCTGTTATGGGTGTATTCTAAACTATTTTCGCCTTTCCGCCTTGTGCTGCAGGAAATCTCCGTTCGCTTGGACACCGAATACCATAACATGTCCCTCAAGGAGACGCTGAAGTACGAGAGGGAGCGCTCCGCGGTCGAGAAGATTGACCTTTAGGAGGAAGTCGAGAAGCGCGACGATACCATCGCGACGCTGACCGCCGAGATAACCCGTCTCACCGACGCACAGAGGATGCCGGCGACGCCGCCGTCGGGGAACGAGCAAGCGCCGAGTGAGAGTGGCTCCGCGGATTCGGCCAGTACGAGGGCCGAAGCCAAGAAACGGGATGAGAAACCCCCGAAACCCCCACAGACGCTCGATGAGGCTCGTTACGAGCTCAGCGTGGTGCAACCTTGGCGGGAGGCAAAGACCATGAGGTACCCTTGGCGCCTCTGGAACTCCGCCACCGCCGATGACACCCGTCGTCTTTGCGACAGGGTCGCCGAGCCGGGATTCGTCGACCGCCACACCCTCCTCAAAGGCGCGACGCAGGGTGCACACGACATGAAGGTGCGCCGCATGCTGAAGGCCATGGATGCAGTGCGCCTTCTTCGCTCGAGCGACGGCGATGCCGACACCGAAGCCGTCGTCGCTGCCTTGAACAAGATCGCGGAGCCGGGCACAGGGACCTTCTGCGATGCCCTCACGGTGCTCAAACAGGGAACCGCACCGACGAAGTCCAAGGAGCCTGGCATGGGCGTCAAGGGGCTGGGCCCCAAGTCGGTCTCGAAGCTTCGTCTCGCCTGTGCGCTGGTGGCGGTCAACTTGAAGCCGAGCGCTTGGGTCGCCGTCCTGTTTCCAGACACATGGGAGGAGCAGATGCCGAAGATCGTGGCCGATATGGCCAAGCAGACCGCACCTGTGCTGCGTCCTCCGACGAAGCGCAAGAAGGCGGCATGAATACCTTTGGAGCATATGCGTGTGCGTAGTTTGATGATGCTGTAATTGTGGTCGATTTTACCAAAACATGATGCTGATATTGTTCATGAAGTTGGTAAACGATACGAACCGAAGGCACATAACAAGGCCCATGCAAACATAGATGATCCAACAATGGTAACTGCAGTCGGTCGCCGACCAACAAACACCCCGAATATACTTGCAGACAGCCAAACCCTCTATGTCGACAGACATCCAACGACGCCGACGTATTGTCAGACTCCGACATATACGCCGACAAGGTTCATCCCCGAGTAGCATGTGAGTGTGCAATTCAGAGGGTAGTGATCAGTCCGACATCGCCGACGAGGGTTCTAGTTTCATGCACTACCAAAAAGTTACATGCACTACCACATAGGCAAACACAAACAAAAAAGTTACAAGCACTACAAAAAAAAAGGATCAAACAAAAGAACTACGCAGTCGGCGCCGGCCAGACCAAAAGAACTACACCCTAGCAATCAGACCACCTAGCGTTCCCTCCGCGCGCCGACTACACCGCCGTGCTGTCCTTGCCCTTCCGGCCCTTCTTCCCCTTCTTCCCCGTGCTGTCCTTGCAGTGCCTGCCCCTTTGCCCCTTCCTCCCCCTGTGTTCAATATCGTACTCCATCTGCGCGTCACACGGCACCGCGATGCCGATCTCTTCGAGTTTCGGCCCGGCGACGGGGCACATTCCCCAGAACGCCAAGGTCTCCACCGTAGCTCTAGCGATCACGTCGGCTTCGACTTCATGATCCACCCCCGAGAAGACCCGGTGCAGAGCGAGACTCTGCAGCGCCTGCGCGACGTTGTGCGCAACCTCACCGAGGGGTTGCTCCCTGTCGATCTCGGCCTCCAGCACCGCCTGCATGACCTCCTTGAAGACACCGGCGGTCTTCTTGCTCACACCGACCACCATCGCCGCCGCCTTCCCTTCGCCCATAGCATCGACCACCTGGGCGTCGTCGTTCTCGACTAAGCACCACACGTCGCAAGCGGAGGCCGATAACGCCTGTGCCGCCATCGCCATCTTCTCATCAGTGTCTCCCTCCTTCCTCGCCGCGCTCGCAGCGACCTTCCCATACGCAGCGCACATGGACACGCGACCTATCATGGCCGACATCATAGCATCCGACTTCTCCTTGCCTTCCTTTGTGACAGCATCGACGGTTAACCAGATCGCCGGCAAGAGCGCGTCGTGGTGCGCATCGCCTGAGCTCTTGCACGATCGATACTTGCCGAGAATGTCATCGAACCTGTCACACAATCACATGAAACCGGGCGACCATTAGTGACTCCAACATCGTCATCAACACTCGGCCGAATGGTATCCGACTTACCGTGTTTTTGGAAGGTACGCGCCCCGTGCCCATATCATCGTCCACATCCCTGTCAGCAATATCTTGACCTCCTCCCACACCTTCCTCCACTTCTCCAACTCGGTTTCCTCCAAGCCGGTGAGCTCGGCCATGAGGACCTTGCTGACGTAACCGTCGTAGACGATGTACGCAATCGAGTGCAGGTACGCCAGCTCCATCTTGTCGCGCGACTTGCCGATATATTGATTAGCGCCGAGCACCTTAATCTCGCCCACCCACCCTAGACCGTCGCCCGAGTTGTTGTGGCAGATGCCATGACCCTTCCGTCCTTTCTCCTTCTCCTTCTCCTCCTTCTCCTTCTCCTTCTCCTTCTCCTTCTCCTTCTCCTTCTCCTTCTCCTTCTCCTTCTCCTTCTCCTTCTTCTTCTCCTTCTCCTTCTCCTTCTTCGCCACCTTCTCCTTCTCCTCCTTCTCCTCTGCCTTCTCCTTCCCTTTCTCCACCGACTTCTCCTTCGCCTTCTCCCTCCCTGTCTCGGCCGACATCGCCCGTGTTTTCATCTGAGAGCTCGCCCTCCCTTTCCCTGTGTCGGCCTTCCCCTTCCGTTTTGACTCTCCCTCGCCGACAGCATCAGTGGTCGTCTTTGGCTCCGCTGAACCACCGGGGGGACTTGCCGAGGGCTCCACATGCGCCGTGTCTGAGATGGCCAGATCAGGGGGGTGCCCGGGGCGTTTTACCGCTTCCAACAGGTTCTGGATAGCAGCGATGTCGGCGTCGTTGTGGCCTTTCGATGCCTGTGCATGGTCAACGGCTCCACCACCGGTGGCTAGCGCTGCCCTCACGCCCTTATCCGCCGCCTCGTTTACCGACGTCGGCGTCGCGCTTGAGCCGGCTTCCGGCTGAGTCCGTGCTGGCGCTGCTGCACTACGTGCGCCTAACCGGGCGCGAAGCAATGCGGACTTTGGGTCCGCAGGAGGATGGGCGGCGACCAGAGGCGCGGTATGTGGGGCACTGGGCGTTGTGGCGGTGACCTGCGGAGTGATCGAGCGACGTGCTGCTTCGGCGGGGGCGGCATCGACCAAGGGAGGCTGCTGCACGTCCTTGCGATGGGCCTCCATGCGGTGGAGCATTTCCCTAAGCCCGTTCGCCGCTGTGGGCACCTTAGTGGCGGACGGACCGTCGCGGTTAGCCGCAGCATCCTTCGCGTCGCCCTTGGCGGCAGACGGGCCTGCTGGAGCTGAAGTGGCCGCAAGGGCCGGCCCATCGTTGTTCGCGGCTGACGGGCCGACCGCCGCGCTGCTAGCCGCAGGGGGTTTTCGGGGAATCGACGTGGTCCCCGCCACCCCGATAGACGGTCCCTTGACGGTTCTGGCACCTCCATCTATCGCCGTTTGAGCGGTTGGGATCTTCTCGTCGCTCAAGCCTTTCCCGCCGACCAGACCATGGGGCTTCTCGACGACCAGGGGCGAGGCTGTTGGTCCAGCGTCTTGAGCAACAACCTCGTCGGCATGGCCCCCATCTGCACTCCCGATTCCATCGCCCTTGCTATGCGACCTTATCACCTTGGCCCCATTCTTCTTGAGCTGGTCGACCACGCTCTGACCTCGAGTCCGCGAGCCGCCTGGACCCACCGCGTCGACGCCACGGCTCCCATCGGCTCCCTTGCTCCGCTTCACGCTCCCCGCATCATCTCCGCCGCCCGCCCTTTTCTGGCCCTGCTTGTCGGCCTCCCTTCGTTGCGCGGGATCGTGTCAAAGTTACGAACAAGAATGAATGAACTAGCAAACAGTTGGGTACAAGTACTAACCCTAATTGGGTTGTACCCCTTATGGGCTACCCCACTATAGCCTACACAAATATATAAGCTATAATGTTGTGACACACCCCCATAGGCAAAGTGGGTGAGAACAAGTGGTCACAAGACCAGTCAAGAAAAGCAAAGCAAGCTCAGGGTGGATCACAAAGTCACCACACAGTCCGAGCACAAGCAAAGGGCCACAAGGCCAGTTCACATGCAGAGTTATATAAAGAGAACAAACAATACAGTTATCATACCCTAGTAAGTGCAAGCATGCAGGTATATATATAGATCACATTACAAGCAGAGTCAAGCAGTAAGCAAGTGAGGCAAAGTAGGCACAAGGCCTAACACAGTAGCAAAGCACTGATGATCACCAGGCGGAAGTGTCTTGGTGAAGACATCGGTAGTGTTGGCCCGAGTGGCCACGTACGCAAGGCGAAGCTGGCCACGCTGCTGCAACTCTTGAGCAAGGAAGTATTGCAGAGCGATGTGCTTCGTTCTGTGCTCCAGTCTGTGCTCCTGACACAAGGCAATCATGGCCTTGTTGTCTACGTACAGAACTGGAGGTGAACGAGGCTGCTTTCCCAAGTCGGTCAGCAGGTAGGTGAGCCAGCGTAGCTCTTGAGCAGCCATGGCCCCGGCATAGATCTCAGCCTCACAACTGGAGCTGAGAACCGAAGACGAGCGGGTAGACCACCAAGAAACAGAGCCAGAACCATCGCTGAAGGTATAACCCTGTGACGACCGCTGCGTAGCTGAGTCGTCAACCCAGGAGGCGTCTGCGTGACCAGTGAGAACAACTGGACCCCGTCCTCCAAGCACAAGCCCCATGCCCGACGTACTGCACAGGTAACGCAGTACCCTCTTCGTAGCATCCCAGTGCACCTTTCGGTGCCTACCGGGAGCCATGTAGCGAGCCAGAAGGCTGAGAGGGTACGCGAGGTCAGGTCGTGTGCAAGTCATCAGGTACATGAGGCAACCCACAAGCTCTGGGTATGGACCACTCGGCTCTACGGACTCGTCCGAAGGTGGAGCTGAGAGCGAGTGGCTGGTAGACAGAGGACTGGGCTGTGGCGAGGAGAACTGGAAGCCAAAGCGCTGAAGGACCTGGTGCACCATGTGTGACTGAGTCAGTGTGATGGTGCGCCGTGCTCTGTCCCGGGTGATCTGCAAGCCAAGATAGCTGTGCAGTTCACCCAGGTCAGTGCAGGTGTGTCTCTTCTGCAGCTCGGACTTCACAAGGGTCAGTGCCTCGGTGTCAGCAGTGGCAAAGACGAGGTCCTCGACGTACACGAGGACGTAGAACGGCGGCAGAGAGGGGTCGGTGCGTAGAAACAGCGACGGGTCCGCAGTAGAAGGAGCAAACCCAAGAGCCGCAAGTGTAGTCCTCAGCGTGTCGTGCCACTCGCGAGGCACCTGGCAGAGACCGTAGACTGGCCGGCGGAGGCCCCACTGGGTACCTGCAGGAAACGTCCCAGTGAAACCAGGTGGCCTGCGCAGCCAGATTTCCTCGTGCAGGCTGCCCTGCTGGAAAGCTGTGCTGAAGTCTAGAGAGTGCAACTCGTAGTCACGCTGAGCAGCGACATGCAGCAACACCCGAAGAGTAGTCATCTTCGGGGTGGGGGAGAAGGTCTGGAAGTAGTCAACTCCCTGTCGCTGACTGAAGCCTCGAGCAACGTAACGCGCCTTGAAGGCAGGCGGAGAACCCGGCGGTCGCTTCACCCTGAAAATCCACATGCCATCGACTATGTTCGCCCGAGACGGGGGAACTTCATCGACATAGGTGCCTGTGGATGCCATCTCGGCATCAATGGCTACCTGCCACTGAGAGGAGTAAGGACCCGTGATCGCCTCTGCGTAAGAGCGCGGGGTCGGGATGTCTGGAGCATCTGGGTCTCCCTTAGGGGCAAGCAGCATGGAAGCGAAACGAGGTACAGCAGCTGCAAGACACTCAAAGTCCTCCTGCCTATCCTCAAGGACGTCCGCGCTAAGAGCACACTCAACCCCGACGGACGGAGGACTAGCAGACACAGACTCAGCAACTCGAGCAGCAGTGTGCGTGCCGGGGACAGGAGGAGGACGCGAACGAGGAGCGCGACGAGCAGTGTGAACAGGCGAGACAGGACGAGACGCATGCTCACGACGCTCTGTAAGACCTCCAGACTGCTCAGTGTAAGGAGAGGGAGCAGGCAGTGGGGAGGCTGGCTGTAACGGCGGTTGCGACTGATCAGGCGGTGGACACAGGAAGGGAGGAGGAAGACCAGTAGTAGACGGGACACCAAGAATCTACTGAAGCAGGGGAACGAAGTACGGTCGCAGCCGCACAGTGCCTCCAGCACCTCTAGCGCCAGGGTCAACAGCTCCAGCTCCTGCAGCTCTAGCGCCTCCGGTGCCAGGGCCTCCAACTCCAGCTCCTCCAGCTCCAGCGCCTCCAGCGCCAGCGGCTCCAGGCTCCGTAGGGTCTCCAGCTCCAGCGCACCCAACACCACCAGTCCTAGCAGCTCCAGCACCACTAGTACGAGCACCAACAGGACCAGTAGCCGCAGTACCTCCAGTACCGCCAGCTCCAGCAGTAACAGCAGCACCTCCAGCTCCAGTGTCTCCAGCGCTTCCAGCTTCGGGAGCTCCACTCCGACGGTGTGCGCGCTGAACCAGCCACTCACGCAGCTGCTGCGAAGACAGTCGCGGCGAAGCACCAGCAGGACCTCCAGACGAAGCAGCACCCCGAGGCGCAGCACCCCCAGACTCCGCACCCTCCGACTCAGCACCCCCAGGCTCAACACCAACAGGCTCAGCACCCCCAGGCTCAGCACCCCCAGACCCAGCACCCTTAGACCCCGCACCCCCCGGCTCCGCACCCCCAGACGCAGCACCTGGAGCAGCACCTGAGCCGACAGCTACCTGAATAGGCGCAGTACCAGGGAGAGGGTCTACCTGAGACACACCCGAGGGAGCAGGACCCTGGGGCGGGAGGGGGTCTACCGGAGGTGGACCGGGAGCAAGGAAGAGCGGCAGGGGCGGGGGAGGGGCAGAGCGGTAGGGGAAGAGACGGTAGAAGGGAACCGACTCGTCGAACGTGACGTCCTGAGACGGGAGGACACGGCGCAAGGTTGGGTGGTAAAACTGCCAGCCAGGCGCGTCAGGGACAAAGCCAAGGAAGACGCAAAGAATGGCGCGGGCGGAGAGCTTGTCCGCGGACGTATCGCGAACAAAGGCACGAGAACCCCAGACCCGGAACACCGACGCATCGCCAACCTTCCCCGTCCAACGCAGTGTGGGCGAGGTCTCCGGCAAGGAGACACGGGGCCAAAGGTTGAGCTGATGCGCAGCGTACCGGACCGCAAACGGCCACAGAACATGGGGAGCGGCCGCATGGATCATGGAGGTACGAGCGACCTCCATGACTAAGCCAATGCGGCGCTCAGCAATCCCATTTGGCTGAGTGAGTCCGGAAGCGTGAACGACTGGGTGATGCCCTCCCCACGACAAAAGTCCCGCAAGAGGTCGGAGGAGAACTCACCACCTCTGTCAAAGTGCAGACGCAGGACAGGAAGGTCCTGGCTGAACCGCTCGCGCAGCTGGAGACGGACTGTGCGGATCCAAGGGATCAAGACAGCAGAGACCTCACCCTTGCTGCGCAAGGGGAAGACTGTGGTGTACCGCGTGTAGTCGTCAACTATCAGCAGAAAGTAGCGCTCACGGCCCTGTCCACTGACGCGGGCTGGGCCCCACACGTCCATGTGGAGGGTCTGCAGGGGAGCAGTCGTCGGGGGAAACGAGGAGGAGTGAGGAGCGGCGCGCTGCCGCCCCTCGACGCAAGGAAGACAGGCGAGGGCGAGGGTGGTAAGGGAGGCAGAGACCTGGGGAGACCAGAGACAAGGAGACGGGAGTGCATGCCACGAAGGCGTGGCAGAGAGGGGTGACCCAGGCGGTGGTGCCAAAGAAGAGTCTGGTGCGACAGGAGGCGACACGAGCAAGAGGCGGCTACATGACCTGACGCGGACACCTGAGCAGACGCAGCAACCTGAGGAGGCTCGATAGCCAGCGTGTACAGACTCGACCCTGGCCGACGAGTGAACGTAGCCAGGTGACGCCCCGTCCGTGTGCACGTGCATATCGACACACGCTGACCCCCAGGAGTGGTGGTAGTGACCATCGCATCCTGAAGGGCAGCGGTACTCACCAAGTTCGTAGAGAACGAGGGGAGGTGAAGACCTGACAGTGAGCTAGACGGAACCGCTGGACACGGGAGGACAGTGGAGGAACGGGCAACGACCGGGCCCCCAGAGGGGTCAGCCAGTCTGACCGGGACAGGTGCAGGGAGAGGAGTGAGAGTGGTGCTGTCACGAAAGAAACAGCGCGAGGCGCCGGAGTCCAACGTGAAGGTGTGCAAGGCCTCAGCAGGCGCAGTACCAGGGGGAGTACCAGACGCACTAGCACCTAGAACAGTAGCGGCTATACCTGGGTCAGGTGGCACACACCGGCAACAGTCACCCTCAGCACTAAAAGACAAAGCATATATGGCAGAGATAATAGCATCATAGTCTAGGTCAAAGATAGCAACTCCCGACCTAAGCAAATCCGTCCAGCGAGGGCGCTCGACGTCGTCACCAAACTCAGCACGCCAGGCGTCGTTAAGGCGGGAGAAGCAGCGGTGCTCAGTGTGAAACTTCCCGCACGTCTGGCCCGCACGGACACCCGTGCGAATGACATACGGGCAGGTCTCACTACCCCCACCCGTCCCACACTGAACCAACCACTCACGGAGCTGCTGGGGCGACTGGGTCTCGCTCCGATGCTGCTACTGCTGTCGCTGACCACCACCAGGGCCTCCACGTCGAGGTCCAGGCCTTCCACCACCAGTCCCACCGCCTCCACTGCCGCCACTCCCTCCGCTGCCTCCACCACCGCCACCAGAGCCCCCACTGCCGCCACCAGTCCCACCGCCGCCACCGCCGCCACCACCTCCACTGCCTCCACCACCTCCACCGCTGCCCCCACCACTGCTCCCACTGCCACCTCCACCACCACCGCTGCCACCTCCACCACCCCGACCACCCTTGCCCTTGCTGCTGCGGCGCTTCGCACTAGTCGAAGCAGCACCGACGTCCTCAGGAACAGAGATGTCTGCAGCAGCAGCAGAGGCGAAGGAGGGGGAAAGGGGGGAGGGGGAGCACCCCTCAAAGAAGGGCGGGCGCGGAGTGCCATGAGCAGCACCTACAGCAACTGCACTAGTCTCAGCTGCGAGGAGATGCTGCTCGAAGAGGTCAACAGTGAGGGAGGTGGGGTCAAGGGAGAGAAAGTGGTCCCTTACAGAGCAAAGAGAGTCAGGGAGGCGAGAGACTATGAAGTAGAGGGTGATGAACATGGGGGGCTGGTTCGTGGCAAGGAACTCAGCAGGGACGGTAGCGCAGTAGCGAGCGACGCTAGTGCGCAGGTGGGTAACGAGGTTCGCTGCGGTGGCAAAAGCCGACAGCTCAGGGAACAGGTAGGGCAGTAGCAGTCTGCCTAGAGCAGCAGTGGCAGGGGAGGAGTAGCGAGCAACGACAGCGTCGTACAGGGCCTGTGCTGTCCTGTGCTGTCCAAAGTGAGTACATTCGGCCACCGGCAGGTGGTTGCGAATGGCTAAGCGGGCAGTAGCGTCGCGAGAAAGCCACTGGGAACGAGTCGAACCGTCAGCTGTGGCGGGAGGGGCAGGAGCGACACTGGATACGTGGTCAAACAGCGAGACACTGTCCTTAATATCGCTTAGTAGGTACAGTTGCAGATCGTCGTGCCATGTGTCAAATGCAACCGGTCTGCCCTTGTGATCGAACGCTAGGACTCGAAGCGAAGCCATAGTGGCGCAGTACTAAGGAGCAGTAGTAGCAGCAGTAGCAGTAGCAGTAGCAGCAGCAGCAGTAGTAGGAGCAGTGGCCAAGGAGCCAAGGGGCGGGGCCGAGGGGCCTAGGGGCCGAGGGGCCAAACACGAGGGTGGCGGGGCCGAGGGGCCGAGGTGCCAAGGGGCCTAGGGGCCGAGGAGCCGAGGGTCCTAGGGGCCGAGGGGCCTAGGGGCGGGGCCGAGGTGTCTAGGGGCCAAGGGGCCAAACACGAGGGTGGCTGGGCCGAGGGGCCTAGGGGCCGAGGGGCCAAGGGGCCTAGGGGCCGAGGGGCCAAACACGAGAGTGGGGCCTAGGGGCCTAGAGGCGAGGGGCCGAGGGGCCTAGAGGCGAGGGGCCGAGGGGCCTGGAGGTGAGGGGCCTCGGGGCCGAGGGGCCTCGGGGCCGGGAACGACGGGGCCGCGGGGCCTAGGACCTAGGTGCTACGGGGCCGCGGGGCCAGGTACGAAAAGGGGGGGGGGGGGGGCGTGAGCGACGGGCCGCGGGGCCAGGAGCGATGGACCTAAGGGGCCAGGTACGAAAGGGGCCGTGGGGCCATGAGCGACGGGGCCGCGGGGTCGTGAGCGACGGGGCCTAGGGGCCTAGAACCGACAGGGCTGCGGGGCCTGGAACGACGGGCCGCGGGGTCAGGTACGAAAGGGGGGGCCGGGGGGCCGTGAGCGACGGGCCGCGGGGCCAGGCACGAATGGGGCCGTGGGGCCGTGAGCGACGGGGCCGCGGGGCCGTGAGTGACGGGGCCTAGGGGCCTGGAACGACGGGGCCACGGGGCCGTGAGCGACGGGCCTAGGGGCCTGGAACGTCGGGCCGCGAGGCCGTGAGTGACGGGGCCGCGGGGCCAAGTACGAAAGGGGCCGGGGGGGGCCGTGAGCGACTGGGCCTAGGGGCCGGGAACAATGGAGCCGTGGGCGACGGGGCCTAGGGGCCGGAACCGACGGGGCCGCAGGGCCTGGAACTACGGGCCGCGGGGCCAGGTACGAAAGGGGCCCGGGGGGGGGGGCGTGAGCGACTGGCCGCGGGGCCAGGTACGAAAGGGGCCGTGGGGCCGTGAGCGACGGGGCCGCGGGGCCGTGAGCGACGGGGCCTAGGGGCCTGGAACGACGGGGCCATGGGGCCGTGAGCTACGGGCCTAGGGGCCTGGAACAACGGGCCGCGGGGTCGTGAGCGACGGGGCCGCGGGGCCAGGTACGAAAGGGGCCGAGAGCGACGGGGCCTAGGGGCCTGGAACGACGGGGCCGCGGGGTCGTGAGCGACGGGGCCTAGGGGCCGGGAAAAAAAAAAAAAGGAGCCGCGGGGCCGTGGGCGACGGACCTAAGGGGCGCGACGGGCCTAGGGGGGCACGACAGGCCTAAGAGCGCGACGGGCCAAGAAAATGCGACGGGCCAAGGGGCCAGGTACTAGCAGCGTAGAAGGTGGTGGGCCCAAGGAACCTGCTCTGATTCCATGTCAAAGTTACGAACGAGAATGAATGAACTAGCAAACAGTTGGGTACAAGTACTAACCCTGATTGGGTTGTACCACTTATGGGCTACCCCACTATAGCCTACACAAATGTATAAGCTATAATGTTCTGACAGATCGGCGTCATTGGCCGACGGCGGCGACCCACGCCGACCAGCCGCCACATTGCCGATCACCTCGGTCATGAGCTTTAGCCCGGACGCAACAAACGACTGTTGGGTGGCCTCCATCACCGCCTTCAACACGTCCGCCTTGAACGACTTCATGAGCTCGTCCGGGAAGGCTGGCGTGGGCTGCGGCGGCGGCGGCGGCGGCACGGCGATGGTGCGAGTTACCGCGGCGGCAATGTTGGTCTGCGCGGCGGCTAGGTGCTTCGAGATGTAGTCCTCCAAACCCAACTTCGCATCATCCACCACCGCTTCCACGTGGTTGGCCAAGGCGGTGACCGCTTTTGCGCGTTCAACTGCCATACTTCCCTCCGGACCGTCGATTTCCGCCAACCACGTCGACGCCATTTCGGCGAAGGACTTCATCGCCTTCCACGATTCGTCCATATGGTTGGTGATGTTGTCCGTGATGGTTGTCGACACGGCCGACGTCGCATCTAGCAGCCGTTTCGCCGCATTATGGTCGGAGACGGCGATCTGGTCGGCCAACGACTGGAGCTTGTCGAGGAGTCCGTGTATCCCCAACGCAAACCTGTCCACCCGACCCCTTTCATCTCCGAGCGCCTTCTTCAGACGGGCATTTTCTGCCGTCAATCGCCTGTTCTCCTGTCGCAGCTGCTCGACGACGTCCAGCGGTGCCTGCCGACCAGATGCGGAGGAACCGGGGTCGAGGTCGATAACTTCCTTCGCGTCGCCAACCACATCGCCGACCACGACCTTCTCACTCCCCCCGTGAGCCGCCTCCATGCCGAATTTCTCCTCGTCGGCATCCTCCCCTCCCTCGTTCACAACATCTGCCGACCTCCCAGCCATTTCCGCCGCTCCCTCTACGTACTCCACCTCCATTTCCTCCAACTCCTACTCGACCTCTTCCTCCTGCTCCCCCTCTTGCTGCTTCTCCTCCTCCTCCTCCTCCTCCTCCTCCTCCTCCTCCTCCTCCTCCTCCTCCTCCTCCTCCTCCTCCTCCGCCGAGCCCCCCTCCTCCTCCTCACGATCCTCATGGTCCTCTTCCTGATCCTCGTTATCATCCTGATGGACGTCCTCGTCCTGGTGCTTCTCCGCTGTCCCGGTCACCGCCCTTCCCGCCTCCTCATCTTCCTTGTCGACGACGCCTCCGGGCTCTCCGAACGAAGTCCCCCGTGCATCATCGACGGTGTGGGCGACACCTACTGCTTGGGATGCCAAAGGGGCCTCCTCGCCGTCGTCGTCACAGGCGTCGGCAGCAACTCCGACATGGCCCGACCGTTTGCGAGCGACGTGCTCCTTTACGAATGTTATCATCCTATTCCGCAGCCCCTTCAACCCCGAAACGTTGACATTGTCCATGCTGGTCACACTGCGATGGAGGGCGCCGGTCAGGAGATCCATCCTCCTCACCACCCAGCACAACGCGCTCATTGCTAGCAGGCCGGAGCCCACGTCCCCGTCCCGGACGGCGTCGGGCACTTTCTGCATACAACAGTTCAGAACGCTAGGATGAGCACCGCGTTCGGCAATCGCATCGCGCAAGGATGACACATTATAGGACGGTAAATCGTTCGGAACTCACATCTCGAACGGGTTGATCGCAGTCGGCGAGCCTGGCCTCCACCTCTTCATCAGAAGGCTTCGCCCACTCCCACTTCCTACCATCGCGCCCAAGCTCGGCCAGGACCGCCGCCCGGAAAAACCTGAAGCAACATGGCACAGATTGTTGGTAAGAATGGTTTACGCTGCGCGGCGAAATTGCATGCGTCGTCGACTACACTATCGAGCTCACTTCAGCACGCGGATCGCCTCGTCGCGGTGCCACTGCTTCACGGTCTGCGGGTCAACGTGCCGGATCGAGGTCCTGATCTTCTCCCCTCGGCCTTCAACAAGTCGCCGGGGTACAGCATGACAACGATGCTGCAATGTGCTCCTGGAAGCGGTGCGATGCTGCACAGGCAAGGCACGACGACGTTGTTTAGAACAGAGCACCGACATAGGTTGCAACAGACATCATGACGACTTCGAACCAGCTCACCTCGAAGTCAGGGGGATAACCGCTACGTCGGCGTCGAAAACCGTTGCAAAGCATGTGTGGTCGTCCTGACCCATCGCAGCCCGAAGCCGGCCGAGTCCTATCGACCACAATCGCATGTTGGCCGGCGCCGCGCGAGTCCATGCGTGCCTGCACGCATGCATGGGTATTAGAAGTGAGTGAGGAGGTGCACGACACGACGGTGGATTCGTTGGTTTAGGAACCATCAACTGACGGGGATGGCAATAGTACGACGGTGCACCACCCTCGCGACACCGACCTACTGGTGAAATCGGAGTTCTAGATAACCCTGAACCTAAAGTCGGCGTCAACGAGAAGTGAACTAAACCCTAAACTCGTAGCGCCGCCCTAGACGTGGGACAACCCTAACACCGACGCTGCGTCGACCAGCAAGGTATACAGAGGTCGACGCCGACATCCCCATACGGAGACTCACTTGAGGCCCAATCCCAAGCAACGGGCGTTGAACTCTAGCCTATGGTCTACGAGGACGGCGTAGTTGTGTTCCTCGAGCTTGGCAGTGAGTCCACTACCGAGGTCGAGATACAGAGGGAAGTCCTGCGAAGTCGGCGCCGCTTCGCTGGCTTTCGGGTCGTCCTCCATGGCGGTGAAGGGAAGAGTGACTACAGGCTAAGGGACGAGAATATGGGAGTAATGTTGAAAGAGAAACGAGATGCCGAAAATGAGGAGCGATGCCTCCTTCCACCAAGGAAAGGGATCGGTGCCCCACAGGCCGGTTGAGGCATCGCCCAGGGTTCGTGGTGCCTGGCTTGGCAGGGTTTGGCGGGCTGCATGCACAGGTGACACAAGTGCTCCTTCGCCGCCGAGCCAGTACGTCTACTTCGCGTCCCCTGGCTTCGCTCGGCGAGGGGACGCAATTTCGCATGCGCGCGGTGCGACGTTTCGGCCGACACGTGTCGATTTCGCAGCGGATCGCGAAAACCCCGCGCCGCGATGCGAGCAATTCAATTTCGCCGGGCTCGAAATTTTGTCAGAATGTGTAGTTTGTCTAGTCTGCAGTGGGGTACTCTATAGTGAGTACGGCCCTTTAGGGTTTCCTATATGTATCCACCTGCTTGCTAGTGCAACACCCTCATTTGCCTATTTTCTCTTGCCTAGCTAGCTAAACCCTAGATATGGCTCCTCATTCCTCGTACTGTTCTCACAAATTTCGCATGCACCCGATGCGAACCCGCGTGCGAGCACGTGGCGTCACCGCAACGGGTCGCGAAATTGTCGAGCGTCCCGAGGGGAGCACCCGAATTTCGCATGGCCCTCGCCTGCCCGTCCGGGCAGGTCGCGAGGGTCACTAGGACGTCGCGGGCAGCAGGCACGGGAGGGTTGCCTTCGTGCGAGGGTTACTTTCCTTCGCGCGAGGGCTCGCCACCCGGTAACGTGGGGCGCTGTTCAACCGCCCCCACCCGGTAACGTGGGGCGCTGTTCAATCACGTAGGGGGTTTGCGGGGTGGCGGTCGTGCGCTCGGCCCGGCCCTGGGCCAGGCTGCCGGGCCCGCACGCGCGTCAGTTGCCCGCCTCGTCGGGCCCGGCTCCGACGACCCCCTCTGACGACACTTGCAAATCGGTTCCGACGACCGAATTGCGCTGGGATGTTCGGAGGAGAAAGTTGAAAAGGACAACAAACGACTCTAGCGAAATGCCCCCAAAAAGGATCTGCTAGGATCCATTTTCAAGAAGTGGTGGTGCTATTGTGGCAACGATTTGCAGTGCCCCTAAGGGGTAAAGTAGGGTTACAAGGATTTCTTGGTCATAAAGCCGTGGTTCTGTCATTCCAGCTGGTCTGTTTCAACCTGTGGGACGATGCTCATAAATGCTACACGAGTGTGTCATGTCAACGTGGGGTTGGGTGCAGTGCAAAGCTGCACGCACTAGTTTCGCATGGTTTTTGTAGGTGTACACAGTAAGCAGTTGACTGCCCTGAGGTACCTTTGGATTCTTCACGGACAACATACAAATGTTTTCGTTTATAGTCCGACGGAATAAGATACCGCGTGCAGACTATGTGCGAAAAACTTCAAACCCCGGGCAAAAGGCGATACTTATAGTCCCGTTCAAGAAAATTGCATGAAGAGTGGTTTGTTTGCTACTAGTTTTGGATTTTGTCTTTTACGTAGATTCGGACCACGCTTGCTTCAACTTCTCGTTGCACGGTTCCCCGCGCTGATCAATATCCGCATGAAAAACGGGCAAAAACAAACAAAATCAATTATGGTTTGGGAGTCGAATAGAAGGTAAAAACTTCAATTTTACCCTGTAAGCGAGATAAATGAGATGTCATCGTCGAGTGCGCTGGAGACCGCGCGACAGGATTGAAAATTAATCACGGTCAAGAGAAACAATTACTTACAATTCCAAAGTTAAACATCGAATCGATGATCCCTTATTTATCGTTTTCCCTGAATGCTGGGCTGGTTCGATCTGAAGCCTCTGATTGGCTGCGGAGCTGATTCGTGCAATGATACGGTCAAGCTGCAAAGTTTCCCGCCAAAAAAGGGGCTATAGGAGTCGGGCCAATCCTAGGCGATATCGAAAAACTCTACTCAAGGGGGAAAAGGGACTCTTTTAGCGAGAGCCTCTAACCCAAAACATTTGTACATGGTGGGTGACACGGTTCACTGTTCTTCACGGATCTGGGTTCTGATTCTGACATGTGATGTGACATGACATCAGTCACCAGACGTAGACGAGAATGAGTGCACGAAACAAGTGTCGGTCGGTGAGCCACCAAACCAAATGAGGCATGCCAGACGAATTTAGGACCGTCCGCCAATAGCAGTCTGCTCTCCACCACACGGCTAGTACACTCTCTTTCTCAACCTTTTCACCTTGCGCGACTCGTCGCTACAGTTCTTGTCTCATGCGATCTGGTGCCAATAAACGTTCCTAGGCAACCTGGGGGGAAAGCCGGACCACGTGACAAACTGGCTCAAGGACGTAAAATCTCCGTAATCGCTTCATAACTTTCCCAAACAGATGAAAACGTTGACAACGCTTTTTGTAAAGTGCATAACCTTACCTAACCGCATTCTTCGCATTGTGCTTGTACAGTAGGTGACAAGACCATTCTGAACGTGGTGACGTTCTACAATCCATGTACGTTCTCCAACCAGGTGCTCTACTAGCGCAAAATAGGGTGTACAAACCATGATCCTCTCAACACAGCCAAAGTTGTCAAAGTCGAAACAAGACCGAAATAACAGAAGCTGAGACGAAACCTCGCCAAGATCTGACCTCATTGCCAAGGTTCCAAAAGCGAGTCTCTGGCGTAGTCGTCGCTCTCTCATGTCCGTCCGCCTCGTGGTCTCGACTCTCAAATTATAAAGAGAGTCTAGACCTGTAACCGCTGCGATTCGCTCGTCTGAGCTCGACCTCAGTTGTCGGATCGTCGTCGTCATCTTCATCTTTGTCGTGTCTCATTCGTCGTCGTCGTCGCCGTCGGCTCTTCCTCAAACGGTCCCTCAGTCCGCTCTTCCCTCTCTCTCTCATGTCCGCGCGTCGCCATTGTGTGCCATCCACCGAACCCCCGCCAAACAATGAGGAGTCCCGGCGGCTGACGCATAGACTTGATTTCACCCACTATAGACCTCGCCCGCGGCCCCGCCATTGGGATCATCCGCACAATATAGAGCCTTCCTATGCTATACCTCGGCCGGAGTCGGAGTCGCACAGACTGTCAGGGGAGGCACGCCTGGCGGCCTCCTCCCCCTCCCCGCGCCACGTGGCAGAAAAGCTCCCATTTCCGACTTTCGAGGCGCGTAAAGCGAAACCTTCCGCGCATTCCCGCTTGCCCTTCCATCCCCGTCTCTTTCGGCCGCAAATCACGCTGCTTCTCGCGGTTTTACTCTTACCCCCGCTATTATCACGGTCGGATTCGTCAAGCATCCCTGCGGGGGACTCTGACCACCGCTATTATCACGTACCCGGCGGATCCGCCCCCCCCTTATCCTCCGCCCTCCGCGACTCTCCGCAAGGTTCCGCGGGTCATGGCGCGCCGCTGCGCGCCGGTAGTGTTAGGAGAAGTATTACTGGTGGATCCGCACTCGCCGCGGCGACCAGCGGTGTGCGCGCGGTGGTGTTACCGCTCGCCGTCTCGATTCCGCGCGCCGACACGATTCCGCAAAAGGATATTCCGAAAGACCAGGCGCAGTCCTCACGTGACCTTATGCTTCGAGAGGTCGGACCGCGAGAATCGGAACCGCGAGTAGAGACGACAAGACTCCTTTCTTGGAAAGCCGCCAGCGGCGGGCCCAACAGTGGAGTCGGAAGTACCGGTGCGGAGCACGGCGGGGAGCGCGGCGCGACTCGCGGCGAGATTCGCGGGGTGCAGGAAGAGGGGGTGGATGGGAGGGAGGAGGTGACGTTGGGTTGTCTGATTCCAACCTACTCGCAAGACGGATTGAACATGCTGGCAGGTGATTAGGGTGGTGGTGACTATAATGGTGATGATGATTGCACACAACCCCTCCCCACCACTCCCTACCCCCTCCTCTCCTCCCCGTCCCATCATCCCTCGTCTCTCTGTCTTCTCACCCTGCCTGCCCCTCCCGCATGCTCCCATCCCCTCCCCCGCGTCCCCCATCCTTTCCGCCTGTCCTTCATCCCCCTCCACTCAACCCCCATCCCCTCCCGCGTACCCCCCATCGCCTGACTTCTCCCCCTTTCCCCTCACTTGCCCCTGATCCCCTCCCACTCGCCCGCCCGTTCCGCCTGTCCAGCAATCACCGTGGCAGTTGCTCACCCGATCCCCTTTCACCTGCCCTCCATCCTCTCCCCCTCGTCCTCCCATTCCGCCTGTCCAGCAATCACCATGGCAGTTGCTGACGTCAACAACGACACCACCATCCTGCCACGTCAGCGCATCCGCCTGATCACCGGCAACATCAGCGCCAGCACGCCGTCCATGCTCAGCCAGCTGGCAGGTGCGCACGTGCTGACGTGGCACCAGCCCGTCCCTGTTGAGCCGACTCAAGAGTCTGCTTGTGGCATCAGCCTAGACTCCTCTCCCTCTCCTCCCTTGTACTTGTTCCAACTTGCACTTCTCCTCTCCTCACCACTCCTCTTGCTCTTGCACCGCCTTTGAAGCCACAGGAGCCACATCAGCCACATTAGCCACTTCTGGCACATTAGCCACATCAGCCACATCTGCCACATCACCCACATCACCCACATCACCCACATCACCCACATCACCCACATCACCCACATCGGATCCACCATATTATCCGTCATCACTCGTACCACTCTTCTATTTTTTCCCTCCTCCTCTCCTTCCTGTTCCTCCCCCTCTGCCCCTGCAGCCATGGCAACAGTGCAGCAGCGGCCAGTGGCAATCATAGGCCCGGGGACGTCCGACCAAGCAGCTCTCATTAGCCCACTTGCCACTGCCACCCATGTAAGCACACTAGTTGGACGCGAAGCTAGGCGCCTCGAAAGTGAATAGAGAAGGTTTTTGACGTCTGAGTCGACTCAAAAGTCACCTCAGTGCAGCAGTAGAGCGGCCAGTGGCATGGCAATCATAGGCCCGGGGACGTCCGACCAAGCAGCTCTCATCAGCCCACTTACCACTGCCACTCAGGTTTCCTTTGGAAGGGTGTCTCACGCGGATTGAGATATCTTTTTCGAGGCTTCTGAAAACTCATCATCCCTACCAGCCAAGCTCAGTCTGACCCCATCCCCTCTGCTGCCTGTCCGCGGAAGCAACAGACGTGCAGCTGACGGTGGGGGATGCTCGGCTATATTTCATGCAGACCATGAGTCGACTCAAAAGTCATGACGGTGGGGGATGCTCGGCTATATTTCATGCTGACCATTGAGTCGACTCAGAAGTCATGACGGTGGGGGATGCTCGGCTATATTTCATGCAGCAGACCATTCCCAACGATGTTAAGAGATGAGACGACATCTGAGGTGCCTCAAAGTCGTCTCTCCAACTCCCTCAACCCGGCTGTTCATCCTCCCCCCAGACCCCCTTAGTGTCCGCAGCAGCAACAGACGTGCAGCTCACGGTGGGGGGTGCTCGGCCATACTTCATGCGGACAATTCCCAACGATGGTGTTGACATGCAGGCCATAGCCGGTGAGAAAAGATGATCAGCTAGAGCAATGCATGCAGCCGACAGTGATGGGGGGGTGGGGGGGTGCTCAGCCGTACTTCATGCGGACAATTCCCAACGATGGCGACGACATGCAGGCCATAGCCGATAAGACAAGGCAACGCATGCAGGAACAGTGGTGTGCAATAAGGTACAGTGGTGTGCAATAAGGTACAGTGGTGTGCAATAAGGTACAGTGGTGTGCAATAAGGTACAGTGGTGTGCAATAAGGTACAGTGGTGTGCAATAAGGTACAGTGGTGTGCAATAAGGTACAGTGGTGTGCAATAAGGTACAGTGGTGTGCAATAAGGTACAGTGGTGTGCAATAAGGTACAGTGGTGTGCAATAAGGTACAGTGGTGTGCAATAAGGTACAGTGGTGTGCAATAAGGTACAGTGGTGTGCAATAAGGTACAGTGGTGTGCAATAAGGTACAGTGGTGTGCAATTAGGTACAGTGGTGTGCAATTAGGTACAGTGGTGTGCAATTAGGTACAGTGGTGTGCAATTAGGTACAGTGGTGTGCAATTAGGTACAGTGGTGTGCAATTAGGTACAGTGGTGTGCAATTAGGTACAGTGGTGTGCAATTAGGTACAGTGGCTGTGCAATTAGGTACATGTGGTGTGCAATTAGGTACAGTGGTGTGCAATTAGGTACAGTTGGTGTGCAATTAGGTAACAGTGGTGTGCAATTAGGTACAGTGAGTGTGCAATTAGGTACAGTGGTGTGCAATTAGGTACAGTGGTGTGCAATTAGGTACAGTGCGTGTGCAATTAGGTACAGTGGTGTGCAATTAGGTACAGTGTGTGCACATTAGGTCACAGTGGTAGTGTCAATTATGTACAGTGGTGTGCAATTAGGTACAGTGGTGTGCAATTAGGTACAGCTGGTGTGCAATTAGGTACAGTGGTGTGCAATTAGGTACAGTGGTGTGCAATTAGGTACAGTGGTGTGCCATTAGGTACCAGTGGTGTGCAATTAGGTACATGGTGTGCAATTAGGTACAGTGGTGTGCAATTAGGTACAGTGGTGTGCAATAGGTACAGTGGTGTGCAATTAGGTACAGTGGTGTGCAATTAGGTACAGTGGTGTGCAATTAGGTACAGTGGTGTGCAATTAGGTACAGTGGTTGTGCAATTAGGTACAGTGGTGTGCAATTAGGTACAGTGGTGTGCAATTAGGTACAGTGGTGTGCAATTAGGTACAGTGGTGTGCAATTAGGTACAGTGGTGTGCAATTAGGTACAGTGGTGTGCAATTAGGTACAGTGGTGTGCAATTAGGTACAGTGGTGTGCAATTAGGTACAGTGGTGTGCAATTAGGTACAGTGGTGTGCAATTAGGTACAGTGGTGTGCAATTAGGTACAGTGGTGTGCAATTAGGTACAGTGGTGTGCAATTAGGTACAGTGGTGTGCAATTAGGTACAGTGGTGTGCAATTAGGTACAGTGGTGTGCAATTAGGTACAGTGGTGTGCAATTAGGTACAGTGGTGTGCAATTAGGTACAGTGGTGTGCAATTAGGTACAGTGGTGTGCAATTAGGTACAGTGGTGTGCAATTAGGTACAGTGGTGTGCAATTAGGTACAGTGGTGTGCAATTAGGTACAGTGGTGTGCAATTAGGTACAGTGGTGTGCAATTAGGTACAGTGGTGTGCAATTAGGTACAGTGGTGTGCAATTAGGTACAGTGGCAATTAGGTACAGTGGTGTGCAATTAGGTACAGTGGTGTGCAATTAGGTACAGTGGTGTGCAATTAGGTACAGTGGTGTGCAATTAGGTACAGTGGTGTGCAATTAGGTACAGTGGTGTGCAATTAGGTACAGTGGTGTGCAATTAGGTACCAGATGGTAGTGCACTTAGGTACAGTGGTGTGCAATTAGGTACAGTGGTGTGCAATTAGGTACAGTGGTGTGCAATTAGGTACAGTGGTGTGCATTAGGTACAGTTGTGTGCAATTAGGTACAGTGGTGTGCAATTAGGTACAGTGGTGTGCAATTAGGTACAGTGGTGTGCAATTAGGTACAGTGGTGTGCAATTAGGTACAGTGGTGTGCAATTAGGTACAGTGGTGTGCCAATTAGGTACAGTGGTGTGCAATTAGGTACAGTGGTGTGCAATTAGGTACAGTGGTGTGCAATTAGGTACAGTGGTGTGCAATTAGGTATCAGTGGTGTGCAATTAGGTACAGTGGTGTGCAATTAGGTACAGTGGTGTGCAATTAGGTACAGTGGTGTGCAATTAGGTACAGTGGTGGCAATTAGGTACAGTGGTGTGCAATTAGGTACAGTGGTGTGCAATTAGGTACAGTGGTGTGCAATTAGGTACAGTGGTGTGCAATTAGGTACAGTGGTGTGCAATTAGGTACAGTGGTGTGCAATTAGGTACAGTGGTGTGCAATTAGGTACAGTGGTGTGCAATTAGGTACAGTGGTGTGCAATTAGGTACAGTGGTGTGCAATTAGGTACAGTGGTGTGCAATTAGGTACAGTGGTGTGCAATTAGGTACAGTGGTGTGCAATTAGGTACAGTGGTGTGCAATTAGGTACAGTGGTGTGCAATTAGGTACAGTGGTGTGCAATTAGGTACAGTGGTGTGCAATTAGGTACAGTGGTGTGCAATTAGGTACAGTGGTGTGCAATTAGGTACAGTGGTGTGCAATTAGGTACAGTGGTGTGCAATTAGGTACAGTGGTGTGCAATTAGGTACAGTGGTGTGCAATTAGGTACAGTGGTGTGCAATTAGGTACAGTGGTGTGCAATTAGGTACAGTGGTGTGCAATTAGGTACAGTGGTGTGCAATTAGGTACAGTGGTGTGCAATTAGGTACGGTGGTGTGCAATTAGGGTACAGTGTGTGCAATTAGGTACAGTGGTGTGCAATTAGGTACAGTGGTGTGCAATTAGGTACAGTGGTGTGCAATTAGGTACAGTGGTGTGCAATTTAGGTACAGTGGTGTGCAATTAGGTTACAGTGGTGTGCATTAGGTACAGTGGTGTGCAATTAGGTACAGTGGGTGTGCAATTAGGTACAGTGGTGTGCAATTAGGTACAGTGGTGTGCAATTAGGTACAGTGGTGTGCATTAGGTACAGTGGTGTGCAATTAGGTACAGTGGTGTGCAATTAGGTACCAGTGGTGTGTCAATTAGGTAACAGTGGTGTGCAATTAGGTACAGTGGTGTGCAATTAGGTACAGTGTGTGTGCAATCTAGGTACAGTGGTGTGCAATTAGGTACAGTGGTGTGCAATTAGGTGACAGTGGTGTGCAATTAGGTACAGTGGGTGTGCAATTAGGTACAGTGGTGTGCAATTTAGGTACAGTGGTGTGCAAGTAGGTACAGTGGTGTGCAAATTAGGTACAGTGGTGTGCAATTAGGTACAGTGGTGTGCAATTAGGTACAGTGGTGTGCAATTAGGTACAGTGGTGTGCAATTAGGTACAGTGGTGTGCAATTAGGTACAGTGGTGTGCAATTAGGTACAGTGGTGTGCAATTAGGTACAGTGGTGTGCAATTAGGTACAGTGGTGTGCAATTAGGTACAGTGGTGTGCAATTAGGTACAGTGGTGTGCAATTAGGTACAGTGGTGTGCAATTAGGTACAGTGGTGTGCAATTAGGTACAGTGGTGTGCAATTAGGTACAGTGGTGGTGCAATTAGGTACAGTGGTGTGCAATTAGGTACAGTGGTGTGCAATTAGTACAGTGGTGTGCAATTAGGTACAGTGGTGTGCAAATTAGGTACAGTGGTGTGCAATTAGGTACAGTGGTGTGCAATTAGGTACAGTGGTGTGCAATTAGGTACAGTGGTGTGCAATTAGGTACAGTGGTGTGCAATTAGGTACAGTGGTGTGCAATTAGGTACAGTGGTGTGCAATTAGGTACAGTGGTGTGCAATTAGGTACAGTGGTGTGCAATTAGGTACAGTGGTGTGCAATTAGGTACAGTGGTGTGCAATTAGGTACAGTGGTGTGCAATTAGGTACAGTGGTGTGCAATTAGGTACAGTGGTGTGCAATAGGTACAGTGGTGTGCCAATTAGGTACAGTGGTGTGCAATTAGGTACAGTGGTGTGCAATTAGGTACAGGTGGTGTGCAATTAGGTACAGTGGTGTGCAATTAGGTACAGTGGTGTGCAATTAGGTACAGTGGTGTGCAATTAGGTACAGTGGTGTGCAATTAGGTACAGTGGTGTGCAATTAGGTACAGTGGTGTGCAATTAGGTACAGTGGTGTGCAATTAGGTACAGTGGTGTGCAATTAGGTACAGTGGTGTGCAATTAGGTAC